TTGCCTGGCATTAAACAAACTAAATTTTAGGAGATTCATGTTTTTATAAAAAATATAGGGACAAGTGAAATAAAATTGGCAATATATTGATAACAGTCAATGCCGAACAATAGGTAGACAGGGGATTCATTTTTCCCTTTACTTTTGTGTTTGAACATTTTCACAATTAAAGGTTAAAAGCCAAGGTTTTAAGCCACAGCCAAAACAAGAGCCTGGTAAGATCTGAAATCATGATCTTACAGGTAAGCTACAAAAACCACAGGGAAGGCCGGGCGCACTGGCTCATGCCTGTACTCCCAGCACTTTGGGAGGCTGAGGTGGGTGGATCATTTGAGGCCAGGAGTTTCAGACCAGCCTGGCCAACATGGTGAAACCCCTTCTCTACTCAAAGTACAAATATTAGCCGGGCGTGGTGGCACACACCTGTAGTCCCAGCTACTCAGGAGGCTGAGGCGGGAGAATCACTTGAACCCGGGAGGCAGGGGTTGCAATGAGCCGAGATTGTGCCATTGTACTCCAGCCTGGGCAACAGAGCGAGACTCTGTTTCAAAAAACAAAAACAAACAAACAAACAAAAAACCCAGGAGAAGCACACACCATCCCAGTTTGCATTTTGTAAATACTATGCTGAGACAGCCGCCAGCTAGGAGAGGAGGCAAACCAGTCCTGGAGGCAGACAGACCACCGTGACCCTGGGTCCTGCTCTAGTTTCCCATGTCAGGGGCCCTGGAACCCTGGCCTGGTCCTACCTGTGGTTCCAACTTTGTCCAGGAGCATTTATAAAATGGTGACTCATTTGATTCTCTGTGGTCCTCTGTAGCAGATCAAAATTCCAATCTGTGACCAAATAAATCTGGCCATAAAGTCTGGGAAAGTGATCTAGGCAACAGTTCAGACTGAATCCTGCTCCGCCCTGGGGCCATCTCACCAATTCAAACAAAGCTAAACAGAGATGTGGCCTCTGCACAAACAGCAGCTGGGAGAACCTGGGGGCCTGGTGTTTACACAGAACCTTCCCCCCCACCCCTAGAAGCTCAAAGTAATTCAGGGACACACATTAATTAACTTAATTAAATCTCTCAAGCTTCCTGCCCCATCCCTCCCTCCCTCCCTGCTGCCTGCTCACAGCAAAGCCAGGCTGGGCCGCAGGAGGCAGGACCTCACTCACACACAGCCCCGACCGTAAACACAGGGACACCCTCAGGCCCCGTTCCTGGGGGCTGCTGGAGAACCTTGAACTTTGGAACACTGTCGTTTACTCTGAAAATAGACAAAATCCATTAACAATAAGCACTTTTCCCTAAATTTACAAGAGACAGAGACAGGAATAGGTTTTTGTCCCATGTGCAAATAAGGGAACATCTGTTTGCTAATTGTGGATTATTAGCCAGGGAAGCTGGTACCGGCTACGGGGCTTCCCACCTGTGCTGAGAAGGCCAACTACCCTCCAGTCAGGTTCCTGAGACTTCATAAAATCCTTTTAAATCAATGCCAATACATTTGGCTTTTCTGCCTCTGGAATTTCTGCTCCCTCTGATCTACATAAAAGACAGATTCACAACCTAATTCTTTTAGAAGAAGGAATTTGGAATAATTCCTTCAACAATCCTGCTAGCAGGCCAGATGGCCTAGTGTGAAGAGTTCACTTTAGCACAGGACAGGTGAGGACAGGTTCAGATGGGAGGAGTCCAGCAATCAACGAATCATGGACCATCAGTTTGTCCTAAAAATCACAGTCCAGTTCAAGCCCCTGTCTCCAGGCCTTGCCTGAAAATAATAAGGAACCACGCAGCCCCTTCGGTGAGAGGTACTTTTCCAGTTAGGATCTTTCAGGAATAAAATGTGCTATGAAGGGGCAGTGCCTGTGGTCATCAGGCCCACTCCCCTCATCTCTTCTCGCCCCTAGGAAAGCAGCTGTGTGCATCCGCAGCAGAGCAGGTCAGAAGTCAGAATGACTCAGGGGACGGGAAAGACCATTACCCAGCAAGCAATTACCCACAACTTCAGCCTCAGCCTCTCATTACTAACTGGGAGGGACCCCTCACAGGAAAACCACAGCTGAAAAGAAAAGGAAGCTACCCCCAACCCTGAACCTCAAGGAAAGGGTGAAAGGTCAAGATTAGACCACGAGCTACGGCAGCTGTCACTAGTGTACTGTCCCATACAAAAGTAGAGATTGCAGCCTTCTTGTAAAAATTCATCTTCTCGGGCCAGGCGTGGTGGCTCATGCCTGTAATCCTAGCACTTTGGGAGCCCAAAGTAGGTAGATCACCTAAGTTCAGGAGTTAGAAAACAGTCTGGCCAGCATGGCAAAATCCTGTCTCTACTAAAAACACAAAAATTAGCCGGGCATGGTGGCGTGTGCCTGTAATCCTAGCTACTGGGGAGGTTGAGGCAGGAGAATCACTTGAACCCGAGCGGGGGTGGGGGTGTTGCAGTGACTCAAGATCCCACCACTTCACTCCAGCCTGGGCAACAAGAGTGAATCTCCTTCTCAAAAAAAAAAAAAAAAAGAAAAAAAAATCACTTTCTCCAAGAAAGGAAAGTAAAACAGCTAGCTAGCCCTCTGGAATACAGATGGGAATTTCAAGTTCAGAGCCATTTTATCCAATAGTGATACATTTAGGATATGTTGAAAGTTTGAAACAACTTTCTAGTAACAGAAGGCTCTCTCCTACAAATCTTCTCTGGACCAGCAAAGCCACCAAATGCTACAGCTGCTTTTTAAAAATAGTTTCATTTCACTTAAATAAAACAGACTTTAAAAAATTAAGTTTTCAGCCCAGACACAGTAAGTAGTTCATGCCTGTAATCCCAAAACTTTGGGAGACCGAGGCGGGAAGATCACCTGAACCCAGGAGTTCGAGACCAGCATGGACAACATAGTGAGACGCCATTAAAAAAAAAGAAAGAAAGAAAGAAAAGAAAGAAAAAGAAAAAAATCAGCCAGGCGTGGTGGCACGTGCCTGTAGTTCCAGCTACACAGGAGGCTGAGGCGGGAAGATCGCTTGAGCCTGGGAAGTTGAGGCTGCAGTGGGCTGTGATTGTGCCACTGCATGCCAGCCTAGGCAAAAGAAGAAGCCTCTGTTTCAAAAAAAAAGATTTTTTAAAGTTTTTTCTACTGAAAAATGAATGCTAGGTTAAATGACAAATGTGGACTGCACATGAGTTGAAGACGAGCCAATTCCTTTCTTACATTCTCTGTTCTAAAATCTGGTATACTGTAATCACCAACGTGATGTAAATCTCAGCCCAAACTCCAGCTCCTAATGGAAAATATGCACTACATTACTGTCATTAATCATTTTTAAATCTTCACTTTTGAAAAAATAAAATTTTTCTAAGCTGCTTCAAATAATTCTTGAATGTGTATGAACCTGACTTAATGTTGCCGTAATCCAACTGAAGGACATTTTAATCTATTTGATGAAACAGTAGTTTTGTACTGTGAAATTAATCTTTTGCTTCTGATAAATGTGGTATGAAGTAGACATCTAAAATGGAATGAAAATGTCCGTGGTTTTCTTTTAAGGCCATACCAAATGACCAAACTTAGACTCTTCGGGACAGCACACATTGGAATAACCTGAAAATAACTTAGTCTACAATTCGCTGCCCACTTTTGATGCTGAGAATACTGGAGACATTGGTTCAGTAATCAAGTGACTGAGAACAAGCTGGATAAATAAATGTTAATTAAATGATTAGGGAATCAGAAATAGGAGAGTCCTTCCAAGACTACATCTAAACTAGAGTCGACACATGCAAATGTGAAAACAAGGTTAGAGGCATCTATGAAGCATCCTACAAGTGACTGCCTGCTGCATTTGCCGACCACCTCAAGCACAAGTGACCCTGGGCTGCACCTTGTTTAGCTAGGAATACCGGGAAGCTGTTACAGCTGGACGCCTACTGGTGGGAGCCTACTCTCCGGTGTCCACATTTACAAGTCTAACAATCAGACCTGGTTTCACGTGCTTTGCTGCTACCCAGGCTTTCCTTATAATGGTGAGCACAAAACAAGGGATCCAGGTTACTGATACCAGGAAGCCATGCATTGAATGACATTACAGAAACAGCCACATAAAAGTCAAGTGGATGATGTCACCTTGGCAAGCAACTTTCTTAGCCTCTTCGGGCCTCAGTTTGCTCATCTGCAAAATGGGGATAATAATAACTCTTTAGTAGAACTGTCAGAATGAAGTGAGATAATGTCCTAAAGCCCATAGCACAGTGCCAGTTTCAAGGCTTCTGAAGTCCATAGGTGAAATTCGCTGGCTTGGCAGGATTTAAGACAGCATAAAGGTAGGGTCATGGTATATTTGCTTACAAGTTCTATAAATTGCACTACGGATGCTTCTTGACCAAGTATTCACGTGAGACAAAGGTGCCATCAGCAGTTTCTCCAGAGCCTTTTTGGGACTTTGGTCCCCATCCCCTCCAGGAGTGGAGCCGCCAACACAAACCAAAGGGCAATCACTGGTTTCATCAACAGGTGCAAAAGAAAAGGCGCCTGGCACAAGGTCAGGCCGGCTCCTCAGTCAACCCCAGGGGATCCTCATGAATACGCAAAGCGCCCCAGCAGGCTCTCCAGCAACCACATCCTCTGGCCGCGCGGGCCGGAGATCCCCGTGGAGGGGCGGCCGGCCTCCGTGCACCACCCGCCCAGCCCGAGCGCTCTCTAGAGTCCCCAGTCCCACTTCATTCAAAAGGCCACCCCTCTGCGCGCGACCCCCACGCCCCGGCAGTCCCCGCGCCGCCTGATTCCCTCGGGAAGTGGGGTACCCGTCTTCCCAAGGCTGGGCGAAGGCGGGCGCCCTCTCCTCCGGGCGTCGCTGCCCCCGGGCCGGACTCACCCAGCGTGGCCACCGTGCCGGCCTCGAACAGCAGGCAGTCGCCGCGGCCGCGCGCCTCCAGCAGCACGCTGCAGTCCCCCGCGGCCCCCAGGCGCCCCAGCAGCCGCAGCCCTTTGCTCAGGGCCATGAGGGGTCGGGCCCGCTGCGGGCGGAGGCCGGGGCCACGTCCCCCCGAGGGCGCACTGCCCGCTACAGCTCCCAGCGCGCCCGCAACTTCCCAGAGTTTCACTTTGCGCCGCCGCTCCCGCCGCGCCAGGCTCCTCCCCGGCCTCCTCCCGGCCTCCTCCCCTTCCTCCTCCTCCCCACACCCGCCTCCCCGGCCTGGGGCAGGTGAGGGCGCGCCGCCGCCTCCCGCTGGCCCCGCGCTCCCCCCAGCGGCCAGGCAGCTGCGCGAGGCCGCGCCCCGGGGCTGAGGCTTCCCGTGGGCGGGCGTGGAGCGGAAGGGCCTCCCAGATGCCACGCATTCCTCGCCGCGGAGGAGGATGCCCCGCGCGGGGCGCCCCCGAGAGCCGGGCCGCGATGTTGGCCGCCCGCAGCCTTATATGGGCAGCCCGGCCCGGGAGCCCGCCAGGCTGGACCCGCTGACTGCTCCCGCCGGGGGCGCTCCGCCTCCCTGTGTGGTCGGCTCCTGCGACCCTGGACGAGTCCTTTCGACCTTGCGTGCCTCGGTCTCCCTGCAGTGAAGCGGGGTCATAACTGCGCCTACTTCGGCGAGGAGAACTGAGTTAATTCGCGGAGACGCTTAGCGGGTGCAGAGCGCGTGGAGCGGGCTGGAGAAAGGTTACTTTTCACTAGCGTTCTATTGCGGAGACTGTTGCGGTCACTGTCCCCGCCAGGGAGAGGTGTTGGGGGTCAACGGTGCGTTGTCGCGAAGAAACCTGGAGCCGTGATCCCCAGACCACGACCCCCACTTACCACGTGACTCTGACTTCTCTGCGCGCCACCTTCCTCTCCTGTCAGATGGTGACAGCGCCTCTCCCACTGGCCCTGGACACCGGCACGTGTCCGCGCGTGTACGCTGGAGTGTGGCCTCGCAGCCCAGTCACCTGTAGCCCGGCCTTCTGGCGCCGGGTTCTGGCGCCGAGCTGCAGAGCTGTCAGAGCTGCAGGGGAGGTGGAGTGGGGATGGGTGTTTAGGGCTGAGTTGGAATCACCCTTTGGGGTGGTTTGGCGGCTTAATTGGCTTAATTCCCCTCTCTTGTGATGGGTACGTGGGGATCGTGGAGAAGCCTCCATCAGCTGTTTCCATCCCGCCGGCAAACGAACTCAGTTCCGCTCTCACCCCATTCTGCTGCACTGGGCCAAGCTGTTTGTCTCTGGGACTTGTCCTAGGAAAGGCAGAGCCCCCAGAGCCAAGCAGAACATTGCCATGCCCCTGCAGACATTCAGTAATGACCAGACAAGGGGACAACCTCTCAGGGGATGATTGGGTAATAAATTTGAGCAACCCCAGCAGAGATCATCTTGACCCTCAGCCCCTTTCCTTGCCCACAAACTTGGCCCAGGTCAAGCATGATGTGCTCAATATCCCAGGCATGATGCTCATCAGCTGTCGGAGCAGCTTCTTTCTGTGTAAATGGAAATACTACTACCTCATGAAAACAGTATGCCCATTCAGTGAGGCATATGAGCCTGTGGCCCACTTTTTGACCCCAAATTCACTTCTTCCTGGAAGCCTTCCTGGAATGCTGAGGTCCCAGATAATAGTGCTTATATAACACCCAGATTATATATTATATATATATATATTGCTTGAGAAGTGTTTTTATATCTTTTCTCTTAGCCCTGTTTTGCAAATTAAGTGGTAAGGCCTTAGGAAGGGGACCCAGTCTTCCATTTATTTCTCTCTCCTCTTTCCTAACTAGCATCACATAGTCTAAAATCCTGCACAGTGGCATACCATACCTATTTTAGAAATTTTCCTGCAGTCAGGACCAGCACTTGAGCTTCACAGCTTATAGAATCCAAGTCACCATCAACTGTAAAATGAACCACTATTTTATATACCACTGAGAAGAAAGAAAAAAAAAAGCTTCCAGTTAAACTAGAACATGCCACTGATAGTCATCTCTGCCCTGATTTAGACAATGTTAAAATGCACATCTCAGACTCAAGGAACTACAGCGGCTGTTCCTCTGTCTCTGAGAATTGGCTGGGTGAGCCAAGAGCCTCCTGGGTTTTGGGGCCTCTGCTCTCTGGTTTCGGGTGGGACAGCCCACCTGGGCAACAGAGGGAGCAGCTTCCTCACATGCGCACTGGCTTGATAGACCAAGGGTACCCAGGCACCGGCACCTTTTGCAGATGGAGCAAGTAACTGACCTTGAGGCATTCAAGGAAAAGGTCGGCTCAGACACCTGAAGCCCCAGTGGAGTTTGGGCAAAGGAGTAGGCCCATCTGCGGCGGGAGGGTTGGGTGCTTCCACTTTCTGAGATGTAGAATGTCTGGAGGGTAGGGAATTGGGAAGGGGAGGAGGTGGGAAAGGAAGCAAAAGCCAAATCCACCAGCCCCAGAGTAAGCCACAGCAGGAAATGTAGCTCAGCGTGGTGTGGGTGAGGGAACCACGGAGCCCAATAGGTTATCAGAGCAAACAAAGAGGGGAATGTAAGGGAGATATGCACTGAACGTTTTAGCCACCCTACCGCCCATCCCCTGCGGCCCTACCAAATCCATATGTTGAAGCCCTAACCCCCAATGGAAAGGTATTCAGAGATGGGACCTTTGGGAGCTCATTAGGTCAGATGACGTCATGCCAGTGGGACCCTCACAATGATACGATTACTGTCCTTATAAGAAGAGACAGGTCAGGAGTGGTGGCTCATGCCTGTAATCCCAGCACTTTGGGAAGCTGAGGTGGGCTGATCACTTGAGGTCAGGAGTTTGAGACCACCCTGGCCAACATGGCAAAACCTCATCTCTACTAAAAATAAAAAAAAATAAAAGAAAATAGCTGGGTCTGGTGGTATGTGCCTGTAATCCCAGCTACTCGAGAGGCTGAGGCAGGAGAATCACTTGAACCTGGGAGGCAGAGGTTGCAGTGAGCGGAGATGGAGCCACTGTACTCCAGCCTGGGTGACAGCGTGACTCTGTCTCAAAGAGAAAAAAAAAAGAAGAGACACGGAGGGAAGGGCCTGAGCATCTGCTGGCCAGGAAGAGGGTCCTCACCAAGGGCCACATCAGCTGGCACCTTGATCTCGGACTTTCTAACTTCTGGAACTGAGAAATACATTTCTATTGTTTAAGCCACCGGCCTGTGGTATTTTATTGTGGAAACCTATATTATTAGTCTTTGTGTTACTATAAAGGAATACCTGAGACTGGGTAATTTATAAAGAAAATAGATGTCATTGGCTCACGGTTCTGCAGGCTGTACAGGAAGCATGGTGCTGGTGTCTGCTTCTGGGGAGGCCTCAAGAAGCTTACCGTCATGGTGGAAGGCAACCAGGAGCCAGCATGTCACGTGGTGAGATTGGAGCAGGAGAGCTAGGGGGGAGGTGCCGCACTCTTTCAGACACTCAGTTCTCGCGTGAATTAACTGAGCAAGAACTCACTTATCATCAAGAGGATGGTACTAAACCATTCGTGAGAGGTCCACCCTCATGATGCAATCCTCCCACCGGGCCCCACCTCCAACACTGGGGATTACATTTCAACAGGAGATTTGGAGTGGACAGACATCTAACCCCATCAGAGCCCGAGTCAAGTAAGACAAGAGAGGTTTAAAAGAAATACAAGTCTGTATTTGGTGCCTGTATTTGCCCACAGCCCTGTCCCACTGCCTGCTCCCTCCTGCCTCCATACCTGTCCTCCCAAGCTCCTGTGGGCTGTGTGTTTGGTATAATACGAGCTGCACAAAGGACAGTGGGAAGTCAGACAGGACCCTGGCATTTTGAGAACGGGACAGCAGCAATACCATCCCGGAGCAAGGAGGAGGCGAGTTTAATTGGAGACAGAGACTGGGTGGGCAGGTCGTCCAATGGGAAATGGCTACAGATGAAGGACCAGGAAAGCGTATGGCAGCGATCAAAGGGGAGTGGAGACAGATGGGGGTGGAAGGCAGGGGCAGGAGGAAAAGACGATCAAGAGGTACCCTGAGAAAGAGGAGCCAAGAGCGTGACCCGGACAGCTCTGGATCTCTTGTGAACTGAGTGAAAACTCATCATCCAGAGGATGGCGCTAAACCATTCCTGAGGGCTCCTCCCTCTTCAAAAAGGAGGCATTTTTTAACAGACCCGAAGGAGGTAAGAGAAACAGTCATCAGGCATCTGGGGCTACAGCCTCCCACATGCAAAAGCCCTGAGAGGCGACTGGTTTAAAAACCTCAGGAAGGTCTCCAAGAATCAGGACTCAGAAAAGAAAATTGGTTTGGTGAGAAGGTAACAGGGACCTTTGATGGGGCAGCTTCACTAGAGGGTTGGGCAAAAAAGCCAGCTTGCAAAGAAGTAAGGAAGAAATGGTGCCGTGAGTGTAGTCTGCTGGCTCTGGAAGCCGGGCTGGGAGAAACACAAGATGAACAGAATCGGGGGCAGACGGGACAGCAGAGACCTTCGAGGACCAGCCAGACCCGCACATGGTGGAAGGCAAACAGCAAAGAGCAGAGTAGGAGAGCTCAGGCCCAGCACGGAGAGGCACCTGTCTCTAGAGGGGAGAAAGGAAGGCCCCCGAAAGGGAGGTGGCAGGATCTGGAGGGAGAGAAGGTTGGGAGGACAGGTATGGAGGCAGGAGGGAGCAGGTAGTGGGACAGGGCTGTGGGCAAGCTGGAGGAGGAGGCGCTGTCCTCCCGAGAACTGGCCCTTGGTGAGCTCCCCATGAGCACACGACGGTGGGAATGGGAGTTAGCGAGAGTGGGAAAGGCCCAGGACGCTGGCCACGGTGCAGGCAATCTAGAAGTCATAGTCAAGATCCTCTGGGCCTAAACCCAGGGTGGACTGAAGAACTGGAGGTAGCCTTGCCTAACTGTTTCTCTCTGGTTCCTCTGCAAAATGAAGAGGAAAGCCTCAAGCCTGCCAGTTCTAACTGAAAATCATATCCAGGCTCTGACCACGGTTCACTGGCTCACTGTTTCAGGTTCGGTTCCCTGTGGCATGGACTCCGAGCAGGGGATGTGCCTGCAGGGTCTGTACTGGGGAGAAAGATGGAGGGGGAGGATGAGGAGTTGAGCTGCCTGAGTGCATCCAGCGGTCCTGGCTTCTGAGGAGGGGTGACCTGGGCAGGGCACCCCAGCCAGGAGCA